AAGGTCCCAGAGCCCAGGTCATGTGCACATCTGAGGGGAATACAGAGGGCCCCACAGAGTACAGGAAAAGCAGAAGTAATCAATGGAAAAAGGGTGAAGACTTTTCCCACTCCAACTCCATTATACTGTACAACCCAGAGGTGGCACTGAATTTCCTACATAATATAGATAAGTATATGTGGTTCCCTTCTTCTTATACACACAAAACAATGGTATATTTTGTGCAGGGAAGCTTTCAGAGTAAAAGGATAAAGCAATACCTGGGAGTAATAATCTCTTTCTGGATAGTGATTATGTCTAGGGGAGAAGGAATGGGACACAACTAGGGAGGAGTAAAATTTTTTTCTCAACCTGAATTAATTTTACAGCTCTATGTTTTTTATCTAAAATAGTTCACAAGTATCAGAGCTTTTATGGGCTACAGTTTTCATCATAAATGTAATGTATACTCCTTTTAGCAAATATACAGTATTGAATCAAATGCAAAATTCAAAAATATCAATACCCAACAATACTATCATCATTGAAATAACATTATGCTATTTTGTTCTATATTTTTCTCTGCATGCATGTAAGCAAATGTAATGTGCATGCTTTATATGTATACATTTCTTATAATGATTATAGTACCATATATACTGTTTAATAAGCTTTTTTAATATTTTGTTTTTGATTTTATCTTAAGTATTAGCATGTGAAGATAGTGTTTTGATTAAATGACAAGACATATAAAATATGATCTAACTCTGCTTTTTAATGAACCCTTTACCAGTTGACCAAGCCCGAATTCTTAAACAATGCATCAGATTGGATACATATTAAATAATGTTGTATGTCTGGGTCTGCTTATGAGCTTTCTATAGAATTCCTTTAATTTGTATGTCAACTACCTTATCCAATAATTATAAAAATTATAGTTTTTTGAAACATTGTAATGCCTGGCAATGTAATCTTCATGCCTATCATTCACCATCTGGATGGCTTGTGGAATAATAAAAATTAGTGTTTTATGTTATCAAGTTTTCTCATCTAAGAGCATGGCATATATTTCCCTTTTTTCAGATCTTGTTTTGTTTTCTTTAATCAGAGTATATTTCTTTAATTAGATTATCTTTTCTTTATATAAGCCCTGTGTCTTTCTTGTTAAATGTATTTCTAAGTAGTTTAAAGGTTTTGTCATTATTTGAATGGAACACTTTTTGAATTTGTATTTTTAAATGCTTACTGCTAGAAGAAGAAAGCTATTGATTTTTGTGTATTTTATTTTAAAATAAACATTAATTTTACCAGTAATAATAATAATAATAATAAGAGTAGAAAACAATAATAGAAGACATCAACAATTACAGAGCACAACATGGTAAATAAATAGCTTGTTCTAGATCATGCAACTAGCAAGTAATGGTTCCCAACATCAAATTGTGGTCCTTCTCACCCGAAAGACCACACTCCTACCCACTGTTTCTATATCAAGTACCCTTCTTTGTTAGACCTAAGGCCAAAGATGGAAAGGACTCACCCAAGACTCTGTGCTCAGTTGGTAGGTCAAGTGACTGCAATACAGGTTTGATGACTCCCATCTTCATCTAGCCAACCTGTTATGTTACTATTCTTTGCTTTCCTGTACTATTTTTTTTTCTGAAGGTCAATAAGAAATTGTTTCACTCATGTCAAACTAGAAAGAATATATAGAGAGGAAAGCATGTAGAAAAAAGGAAATGGTGAGATAGGACTAAAGTTTACTTCTTGCTGCTACATTTCTAGATGTCATTTTAAATCTTCCGTTTCGTGGGAGAGAGTATGTAGGGTAAGCTGGCAGTAACATACAACAAAGCCTACTATGTGCCATACATTCTTTTAAGTTTTCTCTTTTTCTTCTTGTAACAAAGCTGTGAAGAAGACACCCTTAGTCTCATTTACAGATGATCAAACTCGGACTTACAGAAGGTACATAAAATTTTCAGAGTCAAACAGCTACCCCTTGCCCTCTGCACAAGCCAAACAACAACCTCCCAAAGCCATTTAAATGATGGCTTTCTAGAGTTTAAGGACTGATAGTTGAAAACTCCCCCAATATGGAACCTGGGATGTTTTATGCCTCCATTTGTAATCAACCACCTTTTGTTGGTGAAGAGGATGGTGTGGATGAAATTCTGCCCTCTGGGCCAAGAGGCTTGGATATGGTTGCCACATGGACTGGCTGATCCCTAAAATGTTGAATTGGACCCAGGAAGCAGCACAAGTTGTGGCCCTTCGGAAAGGGAAACTGAATGGTAGGCTATTAACATAGCCTAGTACATGACTACTATATGAGGGTGTTTTACATTTCATCTCATTTTAATCCTAAGAACCAGGACCAATAATTATCCCCATTACTTGGATAAGGGAACAGAAATTGAATATTACTTAACTTGACCTAGGAAAATCACCTTATGAATTATTGTTTCAGGATGCAAAATGAAGGATTATTCAAGACTAAGATTTCCTCCCCTCTGTCCTTTGAGTTGACATTTGATATAATTTAAGGAAGTATGATTCAGTTGTTCTTTTGAACAATGTGCTTAAGTACTTTTAAAATGCTTGCAATCATTATAAATGCCATGTTCATAGCAAAAATTAAAAATGTGTGTGAAAAGTTGGAAAAATTATTTACCACCTACATTCAAGCATATAGTTTACATTTTAGATGTACAAAATACTCTTAAGCAATAGAGAAAGGTCAATGATAACCAGAGATAATGCACATAAAAAGCAATATGAATGTACAATAAATACTTAGAAACATACTAAATCAAATAAATGAAAATGAATCACAGTGAGTGAAATAATGAAGTTTTAAAACATATGTAGAATATAATCTCATTTCTATGAAAGAATACACATTAACTTGGGTGAATTGATATTTGTGTGTCATCAAATATGTTAGTGTGTTACATACAGAGAAAAATCTGGTGAATAGGCAGCAATAAATTAACAAAGATGATTTCTGTATTAAGATGGGCATAAAGTGAGGGCAAGATAGAATAATTTCAGCTTATAAACATACATTTCTATATTGTTGTTTCTATATTGTTTGATACTTTTAAACAACAAGAGGTATTAACTGATAATCTGAAAATACTATTAAAATAAAGCTTTTCACCATCTGGGGGATGGACACACTTGAAGCTCTGACTCAGGTGGGGCAAAGGCAATATATGTAACCTAAACATTTGTACCCCTGTAATATGCTGAAATAAAAAAAAAGACATAAAAAATAAAAAATAAAATAAAGCTTTTTAAAAACAAAACTCTATAAACCAAGTTATAAAATGATAATGTAGAAATATATTTATTGACTTAGAAACATGTTCATATGCTATTGAGTGAAAATAGCAAGTTAAAATTTTTTGCTAATAATTCAAAGTGTGCATGTTGGTGATAGAGGATACTTTCATTTTAAAATTTTGCATTTCTACAGTGTTTTAAATAATTGTGAGCTGATTACAAATATGATGTTCATATATTCATTGATTTGGGAATATGTTCATGGTATACTGTTTTATGGGTAAAGGAAACATAAAAACAATTTATTTGACACTACTTATCTATGTGCATGTGGGTTTCTATATCTCAAACTTCTTTATGTCAATTATTCATACACTAATTCACACAGCTTTCCATTAAGCTCACATGGGGCTGAACTTCTAGACCCATCACTTGAAGATCCCAGGGTAGACATGAATATAGAAAGATCATCACCAGTGTATGGAAAATTCCAGAAAGCTGTAGCCTATAGGATGGAATCTATTCACCTCTCTCACCCTCCCCCATTACCTTACCGTTTCCCAAGCTCTCTAGTTGACATTTCCACACCTGCAATTCTGACTTTGACCATTAGGTAGTATCTTGTTCCATTTTCTATAAGTTACTTTTTTCCCATTGAAAACACACTATTCTTATAAACAGAAACAAAACTTTCTCAAAACAGATGATGAAACAATAAGTATAGTGTGACCCCAACTCTCTTGGAAAAATTCATACATTTATGAAAAGACTGAATGAATATATAGTTTTGTTTCCTGCTCACCGCTACATCTACAATTGAATTAATTTATTAAATATGTAATGGTTGTCTACTGTAATCTAGTCACTGTCAGTCCAATGCTATATGTCCATCCCACATCTTCTCTCTCAATCTCTAGACCTGTATAACTGGAAGTGTCCACAGCGAGCAGTATGGATACTGGAGCCCACCCTATGGTGTATGACCTCAAAAGGACTCCATTCCAAGCAAGTTTAGTCCAACTTTCACCTTGAGACCTGGAAACTCAGCATCTAAACAGGAAATAATGTGGTTGAGTGGAGAGAGGTTGCTACTTTGGGAAACTGAGGCACCTTGTGACCCACATCTGTCCTCTTGTATAGCACTAATGGGCTACTACCTTCTGATCAGATCTCACTGTCAGATACAGAGTGAATATTATGGTAACCCCTGTGTAGTTTCACTCTTGGTTCTTCTTATGGGTGTAAACTAGAGGTTTTCCTTGCTTTTTAGTTCTTGAATATGTTAGAGTGGTAGACTTCTGAACTGGTTTTGTATTTACCTTATCCCTATAAGGGTAGTCCCTCCCATTTAGTTGCCTGAGGGGTCCATCTGAGAAACTATGGAGTTTCTACTTCACACAAGACCTCATCTCCCAGTTACAGAGGTATGAACTCACTAATTCTTTTGATTTAGTGGAATGGTTTTTATATATGTCTTGCATGATGATCACCTCCTCTAAGGGTTCCCTTTATGTCTAATACCCCAATATAATCCAAATCTCTCTCCTGTACACCCTAGTACACCCACAGAAAAATTCCTCTATAACCTGATAGTGGAGAAAACTTGTCTAACAATAATTTAAAATCCAGAAGCAATAAAGGAAAATAATGATATTTTATTAAAACATTTTTAATAATATTTTATTTAAAGAGAGTGATTTTATTTTAAAAAATGTAGCAGAAGACAAACCCATAAGCAAATTAAAATTAAAAATTAGAAAAAATATTTACAACTTAGATAAAAAACAAAGGGTTATATCCCTAATATGTAGAAATCTTATGAAAAAGTGAATGCAAAACCCAACAACCTGAGATAAAAAGGGGCAATAAATACAAGGAAATATTTTACCAAAAAATCATCCTTAAACACAAGAAAAATGCTCAACCTAACGTATGGTAAGTGCTGTCAGGAAAAATAACTATAATGAAATATCTCTTCTCACCAATTACATAGTCTGTGAGAAAATAGGCATTCCCATTTATTGATGGTGTTCATGCAAAATGATACTCTCCTATAGAGAGGACTTGATATTATACTATCTAGCAAAATTAGATAGGTATTTACTCTTGGAATCAGTGATCTCTCTTTTAAGAATTTATCCCAAAGAAACAATTCAAAAATACAAAAAAGCTTAAGCACAGGCTAGTCCTGGCAGAACAATCTGTTTTGTTTGTGTTCAATAACACAAAACTAGAAATAAGACAAATGTTGGCTGAGTAATCTAAGGTACTTCTACATCCTAGAGTACTATGCAGCTATAAAAGCAATGAGGACTCCATCTCTTTACTGCTATGAGTGATCTCTAGGATACGTTGTTAAGCGAAAAATGATATTCAGAGAAAAAGTGTTAGCTGTGGCTGTCCAATATAGTAGGTACACTAGACATAAGTGGCTATTTAAATTAAATTTAATTTAATCTAAATAAAATTTAAAATTTAGTTAGTCAGTCACACTAGCCATATTTTAGGTGCTCAACAGCCATTTGTGGCTAGTGGCTACCATGTTGGATAGTACAGAGACAGAACATTTTTATTTTTGCATAAATTTTTATTGGACAGCATTTGTGTAGAATGTGCCACTTTTTATAATACCTGTGAATGGAGAGAAAAGTAATATACATATTACATTTGCATATACAAATCTGGAGGCTTAAAACAAAAATTGACAAAAATAATTACCTGTAATGGGATGGAGAAGCAGCCCAGGATGGAAGCCAATGATGTACCTTCTCTTAAAAATATAATACATATTTACTGGTTCCATGTACTGAAAAGAGCAAGACACAAAGACCAACCCAGTAGCAATGAGCAACTCTAGATCCCAGACTGGATCCTCTACAAACATTTACCACTAAAAAAAAAACAGCCTCCCTTGGAGAAATGGCTAATTCCAGCTCTGAGATTAGGATTGTACCAGATAAGTCTGAACCAAAGTATTATACAAGAGTGCATGTCAAAAAGACTCAGAGCCAACCTGAAGTGGATCCCAGAGGCCAAAGATGAAACAATTTGAAAATAAAAAATACCAATGACTGAAATGGATTAAAATACACAAAAATATAAGCATCAGTGAACTCAAGGTGACATCCTAAAAAGCAAACAAAATCAACTCACTGCTCACTTTTGGAGACTCTAGGAAAACAATTCATTGTTCTGAAAAAGTTGAAATAGGGCAAAAGAATTAAACATTCATCCTATCCTTCTTATGTGTACCACACTGCAGAATAACCTAATAGTTGATGAAAGGAAGTTTCTTTTGTAAAAGAATTTCAGCTTAAAACTGTAGAAGAAATTATAGAATTAGAACATCACCCTCTGCAACCTTTAATGAAATACAAATCCAGGCAGTGATCTTTAGAGGCTGCAAAAAAACACAAGATGAAAAGCAGATGGCAAATTTTATAATGCATGGATCAGGCTGACAGCACTTGAATGCAGTAATCAATCTCAACATCACAGGAGAGACAAGCAGATCCCATGAGCCTCCTGGTATAACACTATAGAAACAAACACTACCACATCTGAGATACATATGCCAAAAAACCAAAATCTAATTAAGCCTCTAAAGCTACTTACCAATTTAAAAGAAATAATAGGGGCAGAGGAATACAATAAGGATACAGTCAGCAACATCCAGAATGCAAACTACATAGGACAAAACATCCAGTTTCTTAAACAAATAAATTGAAAGCCTAGAAAAAGAGGGGTCTTCTTTAGATAAAACAAACTTCACATTTCAGAAAAATTAAAAGTAAAACCAAATGACATATCACCACACAACCACTAGAACACCAACATGGCAAAGAAGAAAAATTCCCAGTGTTGGCAAGGATGTGGATGGAGCAAGTGGAACTCTCACACACTGCTGGTGGGAATATGGATTGGCACAACCACTTTGGAAAACTTCATGGCAATATCAACTGAGCTGAAATATACCCTATCACTCAAAAATGACACTCTTGGGTACATGTTCAAGAAATGAAAATAAATGTTCATTTAAAAGGTATGTACAAGATTGTTCATACCATCAGTATTCATAATAAATGAAAAACTGGAAAATACCCATATTTCCATAGAAGATAAAGATATTGTGAAATATACACACGATGCCTTTTGTTTTTATAATTACTACCTTTTTTTTTTCTTAAATAAATATTTTCTGATACATGGCAGAATGGCTACTGAAGCATAGTTTTCACAGAGTGAGATATGGCCCCACCTAATATCAAGCCACTATGGGCTGACATAGTTCAACAAAAGTCTTTTTCTTCTTCCTAATTTTACTGGTTATAAGTGGGGGTTCTGGAGACAGGCTAGGGAAAAGCCCTTAGTTCTTAAAAACTGTGTGATTTTCAACACTTTTACATCACCTTACAGTCACTCAAATGCCTCATTTGTAAAATCAGAATTATACAGTACTTACCACAGAAGAAAAGTAAGTTTAAAAATATCACTTTGTGTTAATATTCAGGATAAATGAATGGTCAGGAATCACATTATATTAAAAATTCTACTGCAGAGACATTGAGATATCTGACTGTGGTCTTGGAAGAGTGAAAGAGCCTCTTTCTGCCTTATTTCCTCTTCTTTAAAATGAAGAAAACAATTTTTCCTGTCTCATGAGTTGTTCTTTTGAAATTACTTGAATTCATGCATGAAAATCCTTAGAACAGTGCTAGGCACACAGTAAGAGCCTATAAATGCCAGGTGTTTTTTTCAAATACTTACAAGTTGAAATGTTTACAGTTTTGATAGTTTTATAGTTTGCATCTATCTTTATATAAAGTTTAATGCTCTTGCAATTGAATTCTTTTTTAGGTATTAAAAACTGTGGTTTTATTTCTTTTAAAAGTGGTAAATGCATCATTTTCTTAAATTTCCTTAAAGATTCTTTCTAGAACATTGTATTTCTACAAAAGAATGATTTTTCTTTTTTTTAAATTGAGGATATTATGAGGGTACAAACATTTTGGTTACATGTAATGCATTTGCCTTACCCAAGTCAGGGCTACAAGTGTGCCCTTCCCCCATTTCCACTTACAATTGAATTCTATTCATCAACTGATGCATTTTTAAAGATCACTAACTTTCACTATAACCACTGTTGGATGACCTAACTATTCAGAGAATGTCTCAAAAGCACTGGAAACAATTGATCTCAGAAAAATATTTCTCCACATGGCTGACAAAAAGCCAAGGAGTCACCCTTGACTCTTCCTTGTCCTTGCACACCCCACACGCACAGCCACTGCAGGTCCCACCTGCGCTACCTCCAAGCACGTCCCTGTCCTGCTCCACCCTCCACACATGGCTGTAGCTCCAACACCATCCACCCTCCCCTGGACTTCTGCAATATTCTCCTAATGGCTATCATCACATGCTATCTTGTCCTTCTCCAGTCCATTCTCCACACAGAAGCCACAGTCACCTCTGACAACAAGAATCAGATCATACCATTCCCATATTCTAACCCTCCACACTCAATATAAAATCCAAACTCCTTACATGGCCCAAACCATGTGGCTCCTGTTTGCTATTTGGACCTCATCTCTCACCTGTCGGCACATTGTCTGCCAGGGTCCAGTCACTACAGCTTTTTCTCTGCTGCTGGATCAACTGGTGCCCACTCACAGCACAGGGACACTGACAAAATGGCCTGTCCATGTCTGGCATCTTCTTGTCATCCAGAACTCGGCTTAAATATTACTTCCTGAGAAAGAACTTCATGAAGCCATCTATGATAATCTCTCTTCTGGTCATTTTCTACTCTATTTACATGTTTATTTTCTTTAAAGCACAAATCCCCTTATGAAATTGTGTGGGTTATTGATTCGTTTACCTGCTTATTGCCAGTTTTCCCAAGCTAGAGTGATAGCTCCAGGGACCCTGCCTATCTTGTTTTCTGTGTCATTTTCCCAGTACCTAGTTCAGAGCTTCACATAAGAATCACCGAATAAATGTTACTTAATTGAAGGAATTTTTTTTAAAACTATTTGACAAACCAGAGAAGACACAGATATTAAAAGTTCCATAGCAGGAGCAACTGACAATGAAATTAACATCAAAGGATTCAAAATTTTTAGAAAACCTCTTTGCAAATCCTCAGCAGTGCTTCTCAAACTTGGATGAGTACCAGAAACAATTGGAGAAATTATTCAAAATGTAGATACCTCCTACCCCATCTACCTGGCTTTGATTTGGCAGACCTAGGGTGAGTCCAGGAATTTGCAATTTTAGCAAGCACTGGCTGACAATTTTGATGAAGTGGTCCGTAGACCATACTTGGAAAAAGCCTGACCTAAACTGCTTGCATTTGATTACTACTAACTTAATGCCTCCACGCAGGGTTCTGGGATATCTGAAATGTCTTTGTTGATGTAATTACTCTAAAGTGCACTGGTCCTTCCCTTCCACCTAAAACCACAGATTGCTTTCACACATGGGATCACATTTAAAATCCAAAGTATTCTAGTGGTTGGGAGGATTGGGTATTATTCTTTTGTATAGACAATACTGTCTATACAAATACTTGAGCATATGCTTTGCTCTCTGGTTAGTGACTTACCTAAAGTGTCCCCATGACGGGGATCTCTTCACTCTTATTCCAGTAACCTGTCTAGGATACTTCACATTATACATCATTCTTCTCTATCAGCTCCTGGTTCTAGGGTGCAGAGCCCACACTCTTCTCTGATGTTATACTAGAAGAGAGAGTAAGGGGATAAGAAAGCACATGGAACAGGGAGGTAAGTAAGAGGATGGGAAAGCACATGATACATAGGGGATAGGGTGATGATGTCTTGCCTATCCTTTCTCAGTTAACAGGAAGCTGTTCATTGACACTTCTCCTCTCCCCCAGCTCCCTCCCACAACCCCTCTCCAACACACAGCAGTAACACTGAAGCTCACACATAACAGAAACGTGGGCTTATTTCTCTTTGCTGTTACATCTCCAAGTATTCTCCCTCGTAACCATGCTGCTATTATGTTAATGTCAGGGACATTACATTGACAAAATGAAGGAGGTAAACTTTGAATGGGCAACCAATATTTGTTGAAATCCTACTAAATGTCACATGCTGTAGATTGTTATTTTTGAACATTTTCTCTTCAAATAATCAAAGCATCACTTTGAGGTTGGTATCATTACTTTCTTTCTACAAGAGGGAGAGTAATCAGGCTCAGAGAACAAAGCACATGCTCAAGTATTTGACAGCACAACAGGGTGACTATAGTCAACAATAATTTATTGTATATTTTAAATAATTAATAACGAAATTGCAATGTTCCTAACACAAAGAAATAATAAAGGCTTGAGGTGATGGATACTCCAACTACCCTGATTTGATCATTACATATTGTATGCCTGTATCAAAACATCACACATATCCCATAAATATACACACCTATTATGGGCCCATAATAATTAAAAATTAAAAAAAGAAAGTCTAGGGAGGTGTCAAAGGGACACTGAGGCCAACTTGAAGAGGCTTCCACTGGCCAATTCTGCGACAATTTGAGCATCAGAATACATAATGATGGTAACAGATGGTAACCCTTTGAGCAAATTCGGGATCTATGAGTCATATTGACATAAATACATGATTGAATAAATATAAGAAAAGAAAGTGCCATATTACAGTCAAGTGCCAACTAATAATTCTGGAAAGAGTAACCGAATTGGAAAAGCAACACTTGACAATTATGATAGTAATAAATGATTCAGGCAAGAATCATAAACAAATGCTCTGTCTGCACCAAGTCCTATAGCAGTCACTGAGTTACCATGGAAACCATGGTGGCCAAAGAAAGCTGGGAAAAAGAAACAATAACCCTGATTTGGTTCTTAATATGTGCTAGGAACTAAATAGGACTGACGCGCGCGCGCGCACACACACACACACACACACACACACACACACACATACACATATGCTCTCTCCCTGTCTCTCACCGTTCAACAATCCGTCTTATCCTCCCACGCCCCAGCCTTTAGACGGAATGTAGCTCCAGGACACCCCCAGAATGGGACATCACACTCACTGGAGCCAGAAGGGACCACGGGGACCCATCTTTCTCCCGAGGCAGCCTGGGCACCGAGTCCCTACGCAGGAACGTGGCGACTTAGATCTGCGATCCCTTTGTCTGCCCCCACCCCAGGGAGGTTCAACCCCCACCAGGTCACCCGTACCCTCAGCTGAGTCCAAACACCTGAAGACGTGATCTTGCTCTTCTTGCAAGGCCACGTCGGTCTCTATTAAAAAGTCGTCATGCTCGCCACAATGACGTCATGTTTCTATGGCAACCGCGATGCGCTGGCTTTTCCTTGACACCGGAAATGTCTCTGTACGAGTAGTCCTCCCCTCCCCTTTTGCTGAAAGCGAAACACCTTTACTCTTCAGGAGACAGACTGAGAAAGCTTACTAATTAGAGGAACTAGTTGGGGACCCAGGCAATTGGTGGGACTCTCCCCAGACTGGTGCAACAAAACATGTCTTTGTAGTCAGGAATTTTGTTTTCCTTAAAAAAAGACAGTAGCAGGACCGAAAAAAAGAGACAAAAGGGGAGTATTATAAGTACAGAAAGACATAGAGGGGTATTCTAAGGCTCTTGGAGGTGAGCTAGCCCTCTGAGAGGGAGCATGTAAAAATCACATGCCATACAAGGTAGTTAGCCATCTGTGGCAGTAAACTAAGACTGTTTATAATCATGTGACTGAATAATCTAGGAACACAAAAAATGGTTTTGTGCTCTTCCCTTACCACAAGTCTCTCAGCAAACTCATCTTACAACACAGAAATAACTTCAAAGCTTCATCCATTATGGTAATGTGTGTACATTCTACTCTTGATGCTACATTTTCTGATGGTTTCTATGGCAGTCATGCTGTTTGGTTTATGTCAAAGTCAACACTTCTCTGGTAGGGAGGAGAAAGGTGGGCCACGACAAACATTTACTGCAGTCCTACTACATACCATCTATTCTGTACAAGATTTCTCATTTTACCCCTCACAAAGTTCTGTAAGGAAAACATCATAGGTCCTTATTTACAGATGACCAAGGGCAGGCTAATAGAGGCTAAGAAATGATTACCACATCAATTTGTTGCCTTCATTACAATACACCATGCATTCTTGATGGAAGCAACATCACTCTCATAGCATTGAAAATTGGCTCTTGGGGATGAAGAGATCTTAGAGTATCATGGTTTGTAGCCCTCCAAAAACCCATTTTACACTCCCTCATGGATGCTCACTTCTAAATAACCACTCTTGGTGTTGACGATGATGATGGAAATGAAATCCTGTCCCTTATGCCAAGAGAGCTGGATATGGACATTATGTGAATTGAATGTTTTTTAAGGTGGTAAATAGGGGCTCAGTTAGAAGAATAGGTGTTTCCTCAGGGAAAGATGACCTGGAGTGTAGGATATTAATGTTCACAAAACCAAAGAAAGCAAGTGGTAATCTAAATTATATTTCCTTTGATCTTAACATTTATTCAAGTTATGTAATTAAACCCATAATTCAAATCAAGGTATAGGAAGTTATGAGATAGTTTTAGGAGATGATTGAGTAAATCACAGAAACCTCTTCGTAAATGCCTGATTAATAGTGAAAGCTGAAATAACTCTAAAGGTTTTTCCAGTGTATCCTGATGCCTCCAGGGCTCTGAATACTCTAATTTCCCTGGGAAGTTGATGCTATCCAGGATATTGCTTTATTTCTTATAGTGAATTATACTACTTTCCAATTAAGATAGCATTAAAAATTCAAAACACTGTGAATTACAAAAAATAAGCAAAGCTCATCTGATAAAGCTAGAATCAACATTTGCAAATTATATAGAGTTAATTCTCATGTTATATGGTAGATGTATATGACAAATGTTGTGGCTGACAGCCTCTAAGATGACTCCCAATGATTCATAACTCCTGGTATTCACCCCTTTTTATAATACCCCATCTTTGTATGTGGTCTGATTACTTAGTTGCTTCTAATAAATAGTATACTTGTGAAGTGATGGGATATCACTTCCAAGATTAGTTACAAAGAGGCTGTGGTTTTGTTTACAGTTCCCTCTCTTGCTCACTCTGAGGAAAGCCAGTGGCTATACTGCATGCTGCTCATGTGCGAAGGAACTGATGTCTCTGGTTAACAATTATTGGGGCCCTGCAGCCTGCCAATAGACATAAGTGTAAGCTTAGAAGGAGACTCTCACTCAGTTGAGCCTTGAGATGACTGCAGCCTCAGCCTATACCTTACCTGCAGCCTTGTGAGAGACTGCCAGAATCTCCCTGCTAAGCTACATCCAGATTTCTGACTTGCAAAAATGATGAGATAATACATTTTGTTATTTTAAGCTACTTTTATTTTGAGGTATCTGTCATGCATCAGTAGATAACTAATACCTAAACAGAGAATTCATAAAAGGAGCAACATACATGTTCAATAAACATTTAAAAACAGTTTAGCTAATAAAATGCAAATGAAAATCTTGAAATATACTATTTTGTATAAAAAGGCAAGTTGAAGAACAATATGAATAATGTGATTTTAATATTACAAAAGGATATATGTATTTTTTGTATCTGTGGCTATATGATACCGTGTTTCCTGGAAAATAAGACCTACCCATAAAATAAGCCCTAGCAGGATTTCTAAGCATTTGCGCAATATAAGCCCTATCCCCAAAATAAGACCTAGTGATGGGCGTGGCTACTCAGCATATCTGCACAACCCATGCATTTCATCGCAGAGCAGTAAAGAAGACTAGCAGCCCTTCTCATCTGCCCCATGAGAGCTCTATTGCTCAACATGAGAGATTGGAGCCAATGGTTCTAAAGGAAATAGAGTCAGAAGAAATTCAGGATGGAATTTGGGGTTTAGAGAGTTATGATGATGTTCCAGAAGAAGATGATTTAACTATATTTGAATAAATGTAGATTGTTGTACCGTACTTAAAAAAAAATAACACATCCTCTGAAAATAAGCCCTAGGGTGTCTTCTTGAGGAAAAATAAATATAAGACCCTGTCTTATTTTCAGGGAAACATGGTAATAATTTACCTACAAAGAAATGCATCTGCAAAACATGCAACAACCTATTGATACTGGACAAATTTGGGTCAGAGGGTGGGCCTCAGGCAGGAGGAAGACTCAAGGTAATTTCATTTTATAAATATACATTTCTATATTGCTTGAAATTTTATAAATAAGAAAACATATTAAGATACAAATTTAAAAACAGAAATTATATTTAAATGATTAAGAAATAATGTACTCCTGATTTTGTTGTTTTGGAAATATATGTAAAGAACACCATTTTATTGAGAAAAAGGGGGTTATTAAAATTTTTGACAATAGATTTGTGTGTGAGAGAATGTATCAGTGTGTATCACCGTTGCTGATTCTTTTTTTTTTTTTTTTTTTTTGAGACACAGTCTCACTCTGTTGCCCAGACTAGAGTGCTGTGGCATTAGCCCAGCTCACAGCAACCTCAATCTCCTGGGCTCAAGCGATCCTACTGCCTCAGCCTCCCAAGTAGCTGGGACTACAGGCATGCACCACCATACACCTGGCTAACTAACTTTTTTTTGTATATATATATATGTTTTTTTTAGTTAGTCAATTAATTTCTTTCTATTTTTAGTAGAGACGGTGGGGGGGGGTCTCGCTCAGGCTGGTTTCGAACTCCTGACCTTGAGCAATCCACCCACCTCGGCCTCCCAGAGTGCTACATTGCTGATTCTTGATATTATCTGTGTACTTCTATGTCTCAAACTCTATCATTCTAAACATTCATAGACTTGGAGCCATGCTGATTTAAGGTCAAATCCACAATGTGTCACTTTCTAAGTGTTCAAGCTTAGGCAAAGCACCTAATCTCCCTCTCCCTGATTTTCTTCATCTATAAAATGAGGGTGAAGCACCTCACAATATAGTCATTAAACTTAAATATGGTTACTTGATCCAAAATAAATGTTAGCCAATTTTAATACTTTAATTTTGTACAGGCATTAGTTTTCTTGCAGGTACAAAAATCTATGATTTAGATGGCTGTTTATTGACATTGAATGACATTTAGTAGTAGTAAATAAAAGCAGGTTACAAAATTATAAGGAAGGCAATATCTTGTTTTTGAAATAAACATCATGACAGTATTGTTGAGCCAAAGTAACAGAAATGGTAAATATCTGGGTAACTATAATAGAGTTATTTATTTTTGAGTATTAATTAAAATTTTTACCTGTTGAAAGAAAAAAATATAATATTGTTGAAAGATATTTCAATGAACGTAGATAAAATAAATAAGAAAAATGAAAAAGGCAGTCAGAAAGAGCTTTTTAATTATTTAATATTTACTTTTAAATGACATTATATATCCAAATAAAGTACTAAATCCTTCTGATATTCTTATTTTAAAAACAATCCTTACAACTCATTTCTTTTTATTACAGAAAATGTATTTAACCATTTGCTACTTCTTTTTGTAATTAACAACTTTATTTTTTAGAGTAGTTTTAGGTTCACAGCAAAATGGAACAGAAACTACAGAGAGTTCCCATGTAACCCCTCCCCTCAACACAAAGCCTCCTCTACAAATCAACGTTTCATATAAGGGTGGTATATTTATTACAATCATCAATACCTTATTATCAACCAAAGTTCAGAATTTACATTAGTGTTCATTCTTTGTGTTCTACCTCTTTGGCTTTTAACAAATGTGTGTTATGTCCATCATTATTTTATAGATAGTTTTTCCTAAAAATTATCTGTAAGCCATCAATTCATCCCTCTCTTCCACTAAACCCCCAGGAAATACTGATATTTTTACTGTCTCCACAGTTTTGCCTTTTCCAGAATGTCATATAGTTGGAATCATACAGTATGTAGTATTTTCATGTTATTTTCTTCACTTAGTAATTGCGTTTAAAATTCATCTGTGTCTTTTAATGGCTTGAGAGCTCATTTCTTTTAATTGCCAAATAATATTCCATTGTCTGGGTATATCACAATATATTTATCCATTCCCCTATTGAAGGACACCTTGATTGCTTCCAAGTTTTTGCTATTATGAATAAAGCTGCTATAAATCTTTGTATGCAGGTTTTTATGTGGATATAAGTTTTCAACGCATTTGGGTAAATAATAAGGATCATGTGGTAAGAGTATGTTTAACTTTGTAAGAAACTGACAAACTGTCTTTGAAAGTGGCTTTACCATTTTGCATTCCCACCAACAATATACAAGAGTTCTGATCCACATCCTCTCCAGCAT